GGAAAGAGGGAGTCTTTCTTTTCATTCACGGTAAGAGTGGTTGTTACACTGAATATCTCTTAATTGCCTGACTAGTCGGAAATGTTTATCCACTAAGAAAGGGAAGCACGTATTGAATACCAAATATCTACTTTGGATTTATTCAATAAAAATATAGAAAACTAAGTGAGAGGCACCTGACATATATATTAAGATTTTTCAAAAAACAGTCATGGTTTCTGACAGTGCTGAAAATACAGTAGAAGGTAAATAAGCAATTACAGTATAGTGTGGAAAGTGCTAGGATGTAAATAAAATCCTTTGGAAGCATGTAGGAGGGCCACTGAAGGTCAGAGAAAGCACTCTAGATGGAAGAGATATGGGTCAGGGACCTCAAGGAAGAGGGAGGTAACCGAGGTAGGGGGCAGGCAGGGGCAGGGGTTGTAGGTTGAGGATTCCCAACAGGGACAACGGGTTACCTCATGGAGAGGCTTAGCACCAATAGAGAACAGTATGAATTTGAAAAACTGAAATTGAACTTGGCTAAGTGAAAAGTAAAAGGAAAGGAATGGCAAGAGACATTAGTGTTTTTGTTAGCCACATCAGGATGTTGAGCTTTATCCTAAATAGGCCATGGGACTCAAGAATGACAAGATCAGATCTCTGAAAGGTCACTCTGGCTACATTGTGGAAAATCAGTGTCCAAGACTACTAGAAGCAGAGACAGTTGTAGAATAACCCAACTAAGAGATAATGGGGGCAGGGGCGGGGAGGGGGGCGGGTTGCAAAGGGAAACCACAGTGGAAATGGAACAAAGTAGTTGGATCTGAAACATTTTAACCTATTTAAGAGTAAACTGGCAGGATGTTATGGTTGATTGGTAAAACTATGACTCTGGCTTGGGAAACTAGATAGATGATTGATAGGCAAGGGGAGAAAGAGGAATGTAGTTTGAGATCACTCTAGGATATTCATGATGCTGTTCTATTGGCAGTTGTATATATGAGTCTTTAGACCCCAAAAAGAGATCTGCCTTAGAAATACAGATTTGGAGAAAATCAGCCTAAGGTCCTACAAGTGAGCCAGATTCCTAGGAAGCCATAAACTAGACAGACTGAGAAGATTAACATTTAAGGGATAGGTGGAAAAAACAAATCCATAACAAAGACAGAGAAAAGAAATATCAGAGGAAAAAAGAAAACCAGAAGAGACCAATGACATAAAAGCAGAAAAGAATGCTTTAATGAAAAGTAATCTACAATACCACATTACTGAGGAATAAAGTTAATTGAGAACAGAAAAGTCCATTGGATTTACCTACCAAAAAATGTGTTGGGACTTTGATCAGCAAAAGCCATATTCCAGAGGTCTAGAGATAATCCTTGTAAATGAAGTAAAGACTCAGCAAAATCAAGTAGCATGACTCTGATGGGGATGAAAAGGAGTGAGAGAGGGGAAGGAAAGGAAAGAAGGGAGGGAAGGAAGAAGAGAAAACTGGAAGAGGATGCAAGGTTTAAGGAAAGAGTTTGTTTTTTCTTTGTTTTGAAAATGAGAGCTACTTGGAAATATTTGAAAGCTAAAAGGCAGGAATCAGGGGAGGAGGGGAAGAGGAAGATAAATGGATAGAGGGTAGTCCTGAGTAGGATGGAGAAGGTAGGATACATAGCACAGGGGAGAATTAACCTTAGGCAGCTAATTTCACTGTAACTGGAAGAAAGGAAAAACCAAAACAAACAGGGCAGGGCATGGTAGTACACACCTCTAATCCCAGCTCTTTCAGAGTCTGAAGCAGAAGGTTTGCAAGTTTGATAAATAAAAACTATGCAAATAAGGAACCCTGCTCCACTGCTGGTGGGAGTGTAGACTGGTGCAACCACTGTGGAAATCAGTATGGAGATACCTCAAAGAACTTGGACTGGAAGTCCCATTTGACCCCGCTATTCCACTGCTGGGGATCTTCCCCAAAGAATTAAAAGAATCATACCACAGTGATATATGTGCACCCATGTTCATAGCAGCGCAGTTTGTAATAGCTAAAACTTGGAAACAGCCCAAATGCCCATCAACTGGAGACTGGATAAAGAAAATGTGGGTTTTTTATAAAATGGAGTACTACTCAGCCATAAAAAATGAGAAATTAGAGACATTTACAGCTAAGTAGATGCACATTGAGGCAATACTCTTAAGTGAAATAAATAGGACACACATGTGTAAATACTGAATAGTTTCTCTGGTGTGAGAAATTGAAAGAGTAAATAAGGACTAAATGTATAATAGGTAATGTGAAATAGGAAGAAAAGGGGCAAAGGGGAAGGAAGTGGGAGGGCTAAGGGAAAGGATAGAAGGGAATGGGATTAATATGAGAAAATGGAAAAATAGGAACAAAATCTTTGTAAATAGGGAGGGCTGGAGGGGTTGAGGGGAGGGCTGGGCAAATGTGAAAAACAAGAACCAAGAGAGACTATGTAAAGGTGCAAATTTCCAATGATGAATGTCATTATATTGTATACCTAAAATGTACCAATGATTAGAATGAATAATCGATAATGTAAAATAGGAAGAAAAGGTCCAAAGGGGTAGGGGTAGTGGGAGGCACAGGGGAAAGGAAAGAAGGGAAAGGAAAAAATGATGAGAAATGGAAAAAGTGGAAATAAAGTCTTTGTAAATAGGAAAGGGTGGAGGGCGTGAAGGGAGGGCTAGGAATGGGGAAAAAAATAAGAACCAAGATGCATTATGTAAAGGTACAATTCCCAATGAGAAATGTAATTGTGTTGTATACCTACAATGTACCAATAAAAGAATTTAATACAAAAAAAAAAACTATGCAAGTAAAATGCAAAAAAAAAAAAAAGGAACAATGACAAATATTTTAACTCACTAAGACAGGCACTATATGTTGTCTGGACCAGAGCAGTGCTAAGACTGAAGCATCACCCCTTTGTGTTTATGGCCAGCCTGTACAGGTTTTTTCAAGTCAGAATTTTGGGTTGACTATCAAGCAAAGTTACAAACACAAAGCAGGTTTTTTTCAAACTTTGCTGTTCTAATAGGGGAAAGTTCGAGCTTGGAGCTGTTCAACAACTGAGGTATCACTGTCTAGTAAAGGCTGGCCTCAAATTTGTGATCCTCCTGCATCAGCCCCCTTCCAGTGTGACTTTTGTACTTTAGGAAACTGAACATGATCTAAGCAAGTGCCTCCTCACAGGGGCACTATTGGCATTTTGGGCAGGCCAGTTCTTCCCTGTATATGACCTGTGTATTGAGACAGATGATGTTCCTAGTCTCCCCATTACCACCACCTAAATGTCATTGGCACTCTCAGTCATAACAATATACAAATACAATCATTTGCCACATGAGGATATTTCAGTCAATGGCATGCAGCATATGTGATAATGGCCATACCATATAGCCTAGGTGTGTAGTCCGCTATACCACTGCTATAGCTGGGTGCTATTGGGAGGTCTATGGACCTTTAGAAGGTGGGGCCTTATGGGAAGTCCTTCAGCACTAGGATGTGCTCTTAGAAGAGATTGTGGGAGCCCAATCTCTTTCTCTCCTGCTTCCTGGTTCATGGTATAAGTGGTTTGCACCACCATGTTTTCCTACTATGATGTACTGCCATTGCCAAATACCCAAAGTATTTTAGCCACCTTATCTTGGACTGGAGGCTCCAGAACTATGAACCAAAATAAACATTTTTTTCTTTATAAACTGTCTCAAGTATTTCATTATAGTGATGGAAAACTGACTAGTACAAGCCTATAGGGTTGTATAAATACATTCTATGATGTTCCCATATTGATGAAATTGCCTAATGATGCATTTCTCAGATTTATCCTTACTGTTAAGTGATACTGTACTCCCAAGGAAGCAATATCGCTCCCAGTTGAGAACCAGTGGTCTAAGTTAATCGTGGTGATCCCAACTCTCTTGCTACTTTGATTGGCTAAAGGGTGGACAATTTAGTTTGGAGCTAAGGGAATTAGTACCTGTCAGTCTTCTGGTCACCATGATTGGTTTGGGATGTCAAATTAACAAAAGGTCAGGCTTTTGTTTGATGGTTGAAGACTCCTCAGTCCCTCTAGACATGATGAAGAAGCATATAGGCATATTTGCTGCTGACATCTATCCTATATAACCAGTAGGGGACTCAACCCCTAAATGAAGCTGCACTTAGAGTGGTAGAATGGAGAAACAGAAATACAAGGTTCTTAGTAAGTCTGAACTACAACCAATTCCAAGACCCTTGTCACTGCTAAATCTTGAGTTACTTGAACCAATAAATCCTATTAATATTGAAACCAGTTACTTGAGTTCCCTGTTAATTCCAAATGAAAACATGCTAATTAATAACAGAAGGAACTGATGGAGGTTGAGCCAAGAGTGAAATACATATAAGAAAGGATGTAAATGAGAGTAAGTGGTATGATAGATGAATGAAAGGGCTTATATCTTGGGTAGAAACTGAGAAAAACAAGGAGAAGAGGTATGCTGAGTTTTTCCTGATGCAAGATTTTGCAAAAATTAGTTCATTCTCTTGGACTTGGGGTCAAAAGTAATCAGAATAGTTCTAGCATTGTTCTAGGATAACTCAATAAGGTTAATATTCCTCCAGTGTGTAAAGGAAGGAACTTGAAACTCACCCAAGGACCTAAAGCTAGTAGCTGGCAGAAGTAAGCCTCATCAAGTTTGACGCCAGAACTCAAGTTCTTTCCACTACCTCCTCCATTGCTATGTGATGCCAAAGGGTGGAAATAACCAGAGTGGGGTTACCCCATCAATACCCCATCAGTCCTTCCCAGGCTTCAATCCAGAACATCAGACAAGAATGACTGGGTCAGAATGATTGTATCCTCCTGTAGATGGAATGGTCCACCTACAAGATTATGGCTCTGGAGTACAAAGCACAGATGGGCCATGGGCTAGTTGGGGAGAAAAGACAGACAGCTCACAGAACCAACATCAACACAGATGCAGGGAGTAACCAAAAGGTACACAAAGGAGAAGTGACTCAAAGATTCTCATGAGATGAAAAGAATTTAATGTTATTTTGTTTTTTGAATAGTTAATGTGGAACAAATGAAAAAGGTACAGAAACTATACAGTGAAAAATGTCTTTAGTTTGTCTTCTGTCCCCTTCCTAGAGGAAATTCCTATTGGCAGACTCAATCCCCTTCTTTCTGTCCCTTCCTCCTCTCTCTTCATTACAGGCAGCAGCACATCAAGCTGAGTTATCTTCATCTGGTAATAATATAGACCTTCCTAATGTAAAGGGGTTAAATGTATCTACTAAAAATCAAATACACAGAAAATTAGTAATTTTATTGTCTATAATGACTTCTTTCTGGAAAGTTCCCATTCCTGATGCAAGTGGAACATGCTTGATCTTCCCAATAAACAATATCATATTCTCTTTATAAACTGGGGAAATTCTCCCATGGGAAATCACTCAATCTTTTAAGGTTATTCACTCACCCTAGTATTCTCCTCTCCTCTTTTCCTTTCCCATGATGTCATCCAAGTGGAGGGAAATCCATCTGCCACTCTCTCTCTAGACGCCCCCTGCCTGCCTTGGTGAGGAAATTGTTCTCCCTGGCCTGTGGGCCAAAATTGATTTCAGCTACTGAGAGAAACAGTTCTTGCCACAGCCTTCAGTAGTAAAGAGCATGAGATGTGCACTTTCTGGAGCCATTGATAGTGCTCTTTTAGCCCATTCATCCTGTGAGCCTCCATTCTTCTCTTGCTGGATATTCTCACACCATGCACAGGTCCTCAGGACCTGCAAGCACCATTTCAAGGGCTGTCAGTGGCTAATCACAGCATTTCCACTTCTCTGTAATTGCCCCAATTCCAAATGGAAAGTAGGTACATACCTCTTCTGATTAAGGGCTCCACCTTCACTCATCTGGGGCAACCCTCTGCTCATATTCTCTGAATCTCCCAACTTCCTGCATGTTGCTTAAAGTTGTAACTTCCTTTCCAGTCATAGGGAAATGGCTCTGATGTCATATCCTGTATTCTCAGCTCTATTTGTAATCTACTCAGGGGCAGTCCTCTAAGCACTGCCTCACTAATGTACACAAACACATCTTTTTCTTTCAATAAAGACTGGCTTTTGCTAATCAAAATCACTTGATTTCAAACTATTGTCTTGTTACAAACTTTTTTTAATCCTATACTGAAACTTTGAACTAAGTGATGACTTGACCTTTCTTGGCTGGGTTTTTTCTCTTCATGACTCAATATGTGCCACTGACTCAATCGGTAGGGGTGCCATGGGGACCAAGGTTTACTGGGAAGGCAAATATGATGATTTAGTATCTCACAAATGCTATCTCCATGACATCAGCATAACATTTCTATTGCCAGCTGAAGAGAGGCCAACGTCAGCACAGTATATGCTTCTGAGTGTTCACATGCTAATACAAGTATGTGTACCCATTGTGGGTGAAAACTTCATTGTCCTCAAAGTGAATAGGATCAAAACTGAGCCAAAGATGCCACCACGCTCCACCTAGCTATTCAGTCATGCTGAATTTCTCTCTTCACATCCTGCATGTAATCTGTTTGCTATTTAGGGATACTAAAGGGAAGGGAGACTTTTTGTAATTTTCACAAAGGCAATGCATGGTCCAGCAATAGCCTTGTACCCTAGGCCACTCCACCAGCATCTATCACCTGGACTCCTACCACAGTCTCCTCCCTTGCATCTCCAATTCTTCCTCTGACCTCCTACAATCCATTTTCTAGAAAGTAACTTGAGTTATCTTTTTAAAATATAAATCAGATCTTATTACTTCCCAGCTTTCCTGCTTTAAATCCTTCAACACCTTCTCATCATTCTTTGATCTGGGTCTGCCTCTCTCAGCCTGGCTTTTTTCAGCCTCATTTCCTCATCTCCTCCCAAGCTTTGCCTCTTACTCTGTTTCAGCAACACTGCTCATCTTTCTGTTTTCAAACACATCAGGCTCATTCTGTAACAGGTCATTTGTACTTACTGTTTCTTTGCAAGCAGAGTTCTTCTCCAGGTTGTCACACTGCTGATTCCTTCTCAGCCTTTAGATCTCAACTTGGGTGTCACCAATTAGCCACACCACACCCCAGGTACCATTTACGAAATTGTCCCATTTCATCTTCTTCATAAGCCCTTTGTTACTGAAATCACAGTTTTTGTTTGTTTACATGTTTATTAGCTATCCCCTCTTTATTTAGAATGCAACTCACCTTGGCCAGGGATTTGGTTTGTCTTCTCCAACACTATATTTCTTGCCTGATATATAGTAAACACTCAGTAAATATTTATGTACTAAAACCAACTAATTTCAACTAGAGGGAAAAAGAAGGAAGACAATAAATACAGGGGTTTTTTTTGGTTTTTTTTTTGAAGTTTTGGGGATTGAACCCAGGACCTTGTGTGCTAGAAATGCACTCTATTGCTGTGCTACATCCCTAGTTGAAGACAATATCTTTTAACTCTGTAGGCACTAATGGATACCATTTTCCCTTTGTTAAGGAATATTAATTTCTGTGTAAAGAAATCATAAGATTAATGTGGCTTTCTAGGGAGAAACTTGGCTGCAAGACAAAAGTAGCATCCATAATTATGCCACAGAAAAGTAGAGTTGGGGGGTTGTTTTGGTTTTTGGGAGGTTTTTTGCAAATAATCAAGTCAGATCAAAGTATAAATTGTTAGCTTTCTTTACCAGGTACAAAATGTGAATGATTTGCATGTGTGTTGGTGTGAACTTAACCTGCTACAGATCACCTGCTATTTTAGGGTCTCCTGATTGCTGAATGCTGTTTACTTGATTTCTTTCATTTTAAGTGTAGCTGAGGAGGCAGGGCTGATCGGAGATGAGCGGTAAAAAGAAATACAGTGTTAAAGATTTTTCAAGCACTGTATAAAACAAACACTGGCAATTTTTAGGTATTTCCTACACTTTCAAAACTAAAAACTAAACTCTCTTTGGTAAGTGCTTTAAAAATTTTAGTAACTGGTACACTAGAAAGTCCTGAATAGCTGCACAAACACTGCAGCAAGAACTTTAAAATTCTTCTCTGAGTGATATGTTTTTTGAACAAAGACACGTGGAAATTAGTTCTCATCTTGATCACAACTAATGTTTCTATCCCTTGTGTCAAAATGTCCACAGTTTCTATAATCAGAGCTTCATCTTTTCATTCTGGAGTCCTCTTTTAAAATGCATACTTTCCTGACAATATATTAGACTAATTCCTAAAACATTGAAGCTAATTAGATCCTTGATCCTCCATGTGGGAGAAATTACCAGTAAGACAGCCCTGAAAAACAGAGATGCATCAGGGAAGGTAAGAAATACCAACTCATAGTTTTCTGAACCTAGTATGAAGTCAGTACAATACAATACAGTAGTTCTTGAGTCACTTTGGGTAACGCTATTGTAAGACATTATTTTCAGTAAGTTTTGCAGTGTGACTTTATCTGAGAAAATGGATTTTTTTAACTTCAAGTGTTGCTATGCTATATGAATTTTGATTGATTATTTTCCAGTTGGGGGTCCCAACAAGAAACAGATGGCATATTTAAATTAGGATAATTTGAGGAGATATTCTCTCTCTCTCTCTCTCTCTCCTTCTCTCTCTGTCTCTCTCTCTCCCCCTCTCTCTCTGTCTCTCTCTCCCTCTGTCCTTTCCTTTCCTTTTGTTGCTGGGGATTTGTACCCAGGGTCTTGCACATATTAAATACACACTTTAGGGGCCGGGGATTTAGCTCAGTGGTTCCGGCGCCTGCCTCTCAAGCGCAAGGTCCCGAGTTCGATCCCTGGTACCAAAGAAAAAAAAAGAAAAAGAAACACACACCTTACCACTGAGCTACATCCCCAGCTGGAGAGGTTATTTTCAAAGAAAACGATTACTTATGAAAGTTGGTGGGTAGAGTAGAAGCACAAGGGCTGGTTTAGGAACTAGACCTCAAAGACAGCAGAGTGGTTGACACATTTAGGCCCTAAGGGAATGATTATCAGCATTCAAAAAGGGAATGTCTATTACAGCAGGCCACCTTGAGAGGATCAATGACCTTTACCAGGCACAGTTAGCCAGAAAAAATCTCACTGGGAAAAAGCCAAGGAAATAAAACCTTGATATTGCTATTCTCCTTTCCTTTGGTCTTCTGCCATCGGCTCCCCATTGTCCTCCCCTCCCCACCATTGGCCAAATCCATCTGGGAGCCCCAGGGAAAGGAACTATATTCATGTGGATTAGACTCCCAGGGCAGAGAGGAAGGTGAAAAGGGTGGAGAGCAGATTTTGAAGAACAAATGGAAGATCCCCAGAATGATGTTATCCTCATTCACTTAAGAGCCATCTGCACCCCTCCCCTTCCCACTGCAAGCTTACAGAGAGCAGCTGTTCTAGGCTGGAGGAGTAGACAGGATATGTCCTTAAAATCAGATTGTTTTGATTCATCTCTTACACTAGACATCATAATTTCTGCACTGGGACTGTGCTTATAACTAAAAGTGACAATCTATGACTTCAAAGTGGCTGGATATTATAATGGGTTTCTAGAATTTTCATATTGAAGCTGAAAAAATTGAATATATATATATATATACACACTCACATACACGAATAAAGTCACATTTTGATTAGGTCAGAGAATTGTGCTTATTCAACATATTACTTAATATTTCCCATCTTTCTCACTTACAGGCAATGAAACTGAATCTCAGGGTTTGTGTTAGCAAGCCATGTCACACCCAAATCAAAACTTGAAGTAGGAATTGAGGCACCTGTAGGACTTGCAGCTGAGACAAGAAGTTAGAACTGTGGCAAATTTCAAGCAGAAGTCTGAATACATTTGCTCTGTCCCTTAGAGACATCTGGGAGATGGCAACGTTTCACTGGACAGGCCAGATGTCCTTGTTACCATGACTTACTGCTCTTCTCTGAAGTTTTGTCCTTAGTTTTGTGATTCAGAAATTCAATTTTATCTGTTCACCCAAGAATAATCAGGTCCTGAAGAATTTATGTACTAGCCGGTCTTGTAATAGGCTTACTGGTAAATCAAAATGTCCAATGAATTACACTAAAAAAATGGTACTGTCAAAGACATAAGACTGATATCAACTGGTCAGCACATTCTTTAGCTGTATAGTTTGAAGGTAGAATATAAGCAAATCCTACATTTATTTTTATTTTCAAGAAAATCACTCAGGGCTGGAGGTGTAGGTTGATGGTAGAGTACTTGCCTAGCTTGCCTGAGGCCCTGGGTCTGATCTCCAGCACCACAAAAATCAACAATCAATCAATCAATCAGTCTCAAAAGGTAAATCTTACTAGTAGTGAGTTAAAGGTCTAAACTTCATACTTAAATGACAACATATAATAATAATTTTCTTGACTGACCATTACCGTGAAATTTTACAAATTCCTGACTGGTTGGTGGTATATATACTACAACGTGGCAAAACCTTGGCACTATACAACTTTTACTAGCCAGGACTAAAGTAGAAAAAATTAATTGAAAAGAAGTTCTTTTGATACATGTTACAATTATCGATTTATTTACTCTCAGCTCCAGATCCACCTCTTCACTGCTCTGCTTTGTGACGCTGGAGCTGGGCCCCATAAATATTTCTGCTTCGCAGCTTGCAGGATGTTAAGTAACCAGTGCAAGAGGAAAGTACTTCTCTACTTTATTCTGGGTGCTTTTCCTTCTTCTGAGGTACACAGCAGCGGGGGTGGAGTGGTGGTGATGGTGGTGTACAATTCCAACTGTGCTCAGTAGGTGATAGCTACAGCCACTCAGAATCTCATGATAGTTATGATAGCAACAACTAACGTTTAGTGGGCATTTATTATGTCCCTAAAATCTATTGCTCTGGCAACAGGGTGGAGGGGGGCTCTTCCAGATTTGTTCCTTCCTGGGATACTCAGCCTTAGCCTTAGGATAAGCCTTCTCGCAGAACCTGGTTGATGGTTAGGAGCCTGGCTGATGTTAGAACCTGGTTGATGGTTAGGATGTGTGAAGTAACCTTAGATTATTCTTTCAAAAGACCATGGTACACAAACAAATATGCAGAGTATCTATAGTATTAAAGTTTCTGGAATGAGGTATGGTGGTGAGGAGAAAATGCCTACAAAGTCTCCTTAGAAGGACAAGAATGGAAAAGAAATTGTTTTTAGTAACATGGCTTAGAAGTAGTAACTGCTCCCCATTCCACCTTTCATATATTCTGAGAAGATTTCTCTTCTCCTTAGTAGCTAACCCCATTTCTTATTAATATAGTTTATATTAAACATTCTCTTCTTTTTTTTTTTCTTTTTTTTTTTATTGGGGATCAAACTCAGGACCTTGCGCTTGCAAGGCAGGTGCCGGAACCACTGAGCTAAATCCCCAGTAATGTTAAACATTCTCTTTTTAAAGCTGAGTATGGTGGCAAGCACCTGTATGTAGTGCTGGGTACTCAAGAGGCTGATGCAAAAAGGTTGCTTGAGCAACATAGTGGGACCCCATCTCAAAAAAATCCAAAACCAGAACCCCCCTACACTTTCTCTCTTCTACTTACTGTGTTGTTTTTGTTGTTGCTGTTCTATGGTCTTGGGGATCAAACCTAGGGCCTCATGCATGCTAGGCAAGTACTCTGCCATTGCAGCTGATGTTCTTTGTCTTCTCACTGGAACTTGACCACTATGAAACACTTGACTTCTATGAATAAAATGAAAATAATAATTGGTATTATGTTAAAAAGAGAAGGTGAGTTTTTAAAAAAATTTCAGAACATTTTAGAACCAATAGTGATCTATCTCTAGCTACTTACATTTTGTACAATGAGGATATATATTCAGAAGGATGATTTGGGGAACCATGACAGATGTAGAATGGCCAAAACCAAGTTGTTAGTCTAATATGAGTAAAGCAAAAGAGTAGCAAAAATCAGAGTTGAAACAATGCAGGTTTTCTGGATAACTTTTGACTAATATAATGAATACCATAGTCTCTAACACAGATTTTATTTATAAATATTTTATTAAGTGCCTATACGTGCCAAACTCTAATGATTATGGTCATGATAGTAACTAAAATTTGAGGGCCACTCATTATGTGCCTGTACTGTTCTAAGGTCTATCACTCTGGCTATGGGGATGAGAATAAACAGGAGAAAGCCAAGAGTCCAAGCAAGGAAGCTAGTTAAGAGGTTACTCCAGAAGTCTAGACATCAGATTATGGTAGCTTGGACTAGGATGATAGAAGGGAAATAGAGAGCCTGCTGTTCACGTCCTGATATCCTAATCAGAAAGGGTTCTTTAGAGCAGGGCATCAAGTTGCAGGCCTATAATCCCAGCACTCTAAGAGGCTGAGGCAAGAGGATCACAAATTCAAGCCCAGCTTGGGCAACTTAGCAATTTAGTGAGAACCTGTCTCAAAATAAAAATAAAATAAAATAAGCTAAGGATGTAACTGTGCAAAGGCCTTGGGTTCAATCACCAGTACCACATAAAAGGGGACAAGGCTTTCTAGCCTCTTCAACCACCAACCAGTCTGCCCTTGAAGGATCACTCAGTTTACTATCAGAGAAACAGGTCTAGAGATGGAAAAAGAAATTTTTACTTATTTGTGAAGTTCCTACAATATGGCTAGTGCTGGGTTACACAATGGTAGGAGCACTCAATAATAATCACAATATTTTTAGTATCTTATGAACTCATATAAAGCTATAACATAATAAAACTAATAGAGAAATATGTAGAATATATTTTGAGACTTTGGAGTGGGAAAGACTTTTTAAATTAGACCTCAAAACCTCAAGCCAGGCTATTGCAACTCTTCACGGTAGCCCTCCCTGTGTCTTCCAGACCAGAGTGTACTTTTGTTTTTGCTCTTCTCTTTTCCTCTCTTGCTCAGCCCAAGTTTGTTCTGCAGAGCCAGTTTCTCCCTCACCCCTCCCTTTTCAAATAAACCTTGTCACCATTTTTGGCTTGTCTCATTCAATTCTTTGTTTGAAGTGAGAAGGACCTAGAATACCTTTAATTGGTGAGCCATTTCTAAAAGGAACTACCCAATAACATTTTGGTGGAGCCGGCCAGGAAAGGAGTAAAGCTAAGGTACCAAGAGACCGAGGTAAGGCTCATATTGGGTGCATTTGTTTTTTGTTTCTCTCCATGAGGATTTTTTTTCTCTCCTTTCCCTTATTCTACAGGAACTCTGGGATTCTTCACAAGACGCCATAGAGGGGCTTCCTGGCCCTGCCTTGGGGAACGGGGGTAAAGGAATGTCCAACTGCAGTAGACTTTTTTTCTTTCCTTCTTGTGGTAGGCTTTTGTTTTTCTTCCAGCTACAATAGACATTTTTTTTCTCTTTTGTTTTGCTTCGGCTCACTCCACAGGTATGTATATTTTACTACCTTTTTTTGGAAATTAGCCTAGTCTCTGGTTACTCTAGTTTTAAATGGCTTTTTCTCAGTTTGTGTTTTGGTCTGGAGTGCTACTACGTTACCTTGCTATGTGGCCAGCCACTGTCTTGTCTTGTTGTGTAGGCTTGTGTCACCAGCGTCTAACTATCTCTTTTTTCTTTTTTTCATTAACTGTCCTTATGAGCTAAGTCTTTGACTTTAGAGAGCATATGGGCTTGTGGAGAACAAGACAGAAGAATGTTTTTTTTCTTTCTTCCTGCACAGAAGAGAAAAATTGTATGGTATCCCTTTAAGGACTTATGCAGCTTGGGCCAGGGTGAATCTGGGGTTGCAATGGGAGGAACAGGGGGGCGACACCACAAGGCTTTTGGCCAGAACTGAGCACCAGGTAAACAGAGCAGTGCCAATATGGGCACTGAGCATGCTGACACTGGTGTCACCCACACCAAGCTGGTGTGCCTCATTGGTGATAAATGGCACAAGGGATGAGGCCCCACAAGTGCTAGGAGGGGGCCAAACCAGGGAGTTCACAGGGCCTTGAGCAGATAAGTTAAAGACCTATGCCTGACTGCCTGAGCAGAACAGCATTTAACATTTAAAGCCTAATTAAAGTGACTGTGAGTATGTAAAAGCAGAGCCATCCCCATTCTTAGTCCTTTTTCTATCACAGTAAATGCAAGAGATGTTTTTCCCTTATGGTCTAAGGAAAGAGTCATTTGAATGGTTCAACTGGGAGGTTAAGGGAACTTGGCTTGGGAAAGTTCCACCCATACTGCATGGAAGTTAAAGGACTAGGTAAGCCCAACAAATAACTTTGGATTCCTTTCTTCCTCATGAGTTAGCAAGTCTCAATATAGAGACAAAAGCCCTCAGAGGGCCTTCTTCTGTGCTTCTGTGTTCTCAGTGCCAGTATCACCCTACGTTTCAGACAGAGGCATCTGTCTAGTCTATGTCTTCTCCTTCTTTGTGGGACACCACCTTAAGGAGTCTAGACCTAGCTATTTCCTTCTCTCTGTAGGCCCAAGGCAGGCAGATAGGAATTCACTTGGACCTCAACACCACACAGATTCCAACTTCACCACTAGGCTGTATCTATCCATGATGCGTGGGAAAGATTGATTCTGACAACTTAAAACAAGAACAACTTGTCTACTATTGCAATACAAACTGGGATGCGGCAAAAGATGGGTATGGGATAGTACTTCAAACTATGAGACTTTTCTCCAGTTACAGTGTTTCTGCTTGGAACACAAAAGATGGAGTGAAATGCCTCGTGTTCAGGCCTTTGTGACTCTTTATCACAGGGAATGCTCGGGGACTGTGGTACTTAGTGCAGGACCTAAGGAGGAGAAAGATATCCTGGATGACCCTGTTCTGAGACCCCCCTACCCCACTTGTCTCTTAGGGGGTCTCAGTTTCACTGATCTACTTAGGGAAGATAACCACACTGGAAGGTCTTCTTGACCTCCTCCTTATAATCCCCAGACCAATAAACCAGGTCTATCCCCTCCAAGTGACCAGGGGACTCCATTAGAGCCTAGTGAGCCAGAGGAACATCAGCTCCCTCATCACGTTACTCAGACAGCTTTAAGCCCCATAGGTTGAACTCAAAGTAGTGCTTTCTTCTACTCTAATTCACAACTTATCCTGGCCCTAAGAGAAGTCCCAGGGGTGGAAGGAAATATTTGAGTTCAGGTCCATTTTTCAGTTACAGATGTCCATTAATGCAAAGAACGACTAGGTCTCCATGAGTTCGAGGCCAGCTTGGGCTCCATAGTGGGTTCAAAGCCAACCTGAACTGCATAGCAAGACCCTGTCTCCAAAAAAAAAGCAAAACCAAAAACAAACTCAGGGATGCACACATATCCAAACACATATTTAAAGATGTTAGAGTGGCTATGAAGGCCACTAGATAAAGGGAAAAGAATAGTGTAAAATAAAACGATAAGGTCTTGCATAGATGATCATATACCAATATTAGGGAAGAGGGATTAGCTCAAGTCTTCGCACTTAAAGTCTGAAACGAACAAAAAATTCTAATGCCATCTTTTTCTTTTGAAGTTTTTCCATCCCACAAATAAGATGCAATGCCTCTTTTTTTAGATCATCCATGTAAACAGCTGTTCGAGCAACAACTCAAAGGTTCATCCATCTAACCAGGGCCTTCTGAGTCTCAGGTGACCCTTGAGCAAAGCACACATCCATGAAACCTCACAGGGAGGAGGAAATAAAAAAGAGTGGTAAACACCCTAGTGCATTGCACTGTATAAACCAAACAAAGCCTAAATACAGCCTTACTTATGAAACTAGAAGTACAGTGTGAGACAAGAATAAACATGTCGTACTAAGTATCACATTGGAGACCATAGCCTGGTTATTTCCATCAAGGGAAAAGAAAAATGCTTTGAAGTATTATTTATGAAAAGCAACAGAGAAAAGACAAACTGGTATGTCCAAATCACCTGCAAAGACAATTTAGTTGCCAAAGGTAGATTATTTGGCATCATAAGGCAATATAAAATGCCTATTCAGATATATATATATATATATAAATTTTGCAAGCTCAGTGAGAGAATGCCTACCTAGCTCTGGCTTCCATGCCCAGCAGTGCTAAATAAATGAATATTTTAAAAATGTAAGTGAATTGATCTTAGGATTTTGTTTGCTTCAAACTGCTGTCAGCCAAACAGGAAACAAAGGATACTGGTTTGATTCCAGGACTCTTCCTTTTTAAGGCTGCCAGGTCTGTCCCTTTGCAGGGATCAAGAGCAAACCAGGCTGACTATTTCTCTGTGTTCCTGAGAAGGCCCTTCTGACCCAAGTCCCTGCAGCTGCACACACCACCTGTGGAGCGAGGCTGTTGCCCTTTTCAGTTCATTCTTTCTCATCTCCCACTGTCTGCCTGGGCAGATGACTGCTGGGAATTCACATGTCTTTTGTTTTACTTAACTTGAGGACTATAGCTGCCTCATTTAAATTACTCTCTAAGCAGGAACTGGTTTTAAATAAAAGCCTTGAGAGGTGAGGAAATGGGGGAAGGGGAAGTGGATTCTTGATTGTTTGGTACTATATTATCGTTTGATTCTCCCTTTCAGTTACCTTTTGAATTTAAAAATCCCTTTCTCTAGCCTTTAAAGTGAGAAGTTCTATAAACTGTACTCACTCAGGATACTTAGATATTTGAAAACACTTTTGGCTACTGTTTCATTTGGCTATCATTTCATAGCAGACTCACCTACTGATTTAATTAAAAGTGTATCAAGAGATTCTTTAGCAGCACACCAAATTTAGTTAAACCTAATTTAAAACATACATAAACTTTGAAGTACATAGCTTTTCAAAAGTAGATAAAGATACACTAAACTACAACTATCACAAAATCTGATTCTGTAGAGAAAAAGAACCTTAACAATTACTAACTAGTTCTAATCCCCCTGTGTGTGTGTGTGTTCACACTGTTTATATTTGTAACATACTCAATAACAGCTTTTCTACTTAATGAGTCTCACCTGGGAAGAACAAACATATGCTAGAGCATGAAAGATTCCCTTTCTCTTTCCCCCACACTGAGTTTATTAGTTCTTAGAGACTATATGGTATTAATTGATGATAAAGGTAATAATGTGATTCACAGACATTCCCTGGTTTTTTGCTACCAGGTTGTGTCTCATCTTGAAGTGTATTCATGACATGATACAAACTCATGAATATGAAATAACTGACTCTTAATTTGTAGAGAAGCACTTGGTTCCTAGGTATTGTTTAGTGTCCTTTTTAACCTTATAATTAAATTCTACACTTCTGCTACTACTGCCTAATGTATTCTGCTTAAAGTATTTTTTATTAGCTATTAGTATTAAAGTATGTATTATACTATCAAAAACCTAATAACAAAAGCCAAGTCACAATTTTTATGATATAATGTCTGGCTTTGAATTTTTAATTTTATTATACATATTCAGGTAGAAAAGTTGCAAAACACAGATGAAAAGGAAGATAAATTTTGTAATCTCACCACCTAGAAAAAACATCATTTTCCCATACATGTTTTTAGTCTCATTTTCATTTTAAATAAGGATATTTTGCTGCAAAATTTTCACAGAAATAGACTTGTTTCTCCAAAGGTGAGCTTCTGAGAAATCAACTCCCCTTGTGCAGAAACAGATTCTGCCCTGGGGGAAGGAAGTGGCTCACATCCTGACGAACAGGGGATCGTTGTTAGTTGTACTCTAAAGAACTGGCATAAATCCTTTTTCAGCCAGAAAGACAATGTGACAGAGTCTAAGATTTGGGCCTGCCATGGGAGAAAGTTGTGGGTTAGCATGAGGATTATGAGAAACACCATTTGAAACCCCAGCTGCACTTAGGAATTATTAGTATTACAGAGGGATTGTTCTAAAATACTCACCTTTTTACTTAGCAATACTCCTTAGTTTTCTGGTCCAGTGCTATTCAGTAGAACTTTCTCTGATGACAGAAATAGTAACCTGTGCTGTCCAATATGGTAGCTACATACAGCTATTGAGCTCTTGAAATATGGTTAGTGCCACCAAGAAATTAAATTTTAGTTTTAATTTTATTTAATTCTCACTTATTTCAGTAGTCAGAGCTACTCCCTTGATTTCTGTCTTCTTTTTGTCTAATTACTTCTGTTTCCTTTAAGGCACAAAGTGGAGCCATCTATAGGGACTTTAATAACTGCCTCCTCATTCACAGCCAGTTCCAAATGACATTGTTTTCTACCTAGCACTGTCTTGATTACAAAATCCTACCACCAAGAAAAAGAAACAAATTGGATATATTTCCAGTGTCAAGCTTCTCCACCAAATCTGACTTTTCACTAAGCACCTTGCAAATTTGTAGGCAAATAACTTATTTAAAAAAAATTGACAGACTAGTTTAAAAGGCTACTTTGCAGATCTGGAGTAAAAAGGAAGTATTTCTGCTACCAAATGCCTTTACTCACAATATTCAACCAGGTCTGGTTTTTTGGTTTGTTTGTTTGTTTTTGTTTTGTTTTGTTTTTTAGTACGGGGGATTGAACCCAGAATCTTTCCACTGAGCTACCTCTCCAGTCCTTTTTATTTTGAGACAAATTCTTGCTCAGTGGCTAAATTGCCTAGGCTAGGCCTAAATTTGAGATCCTCTTGCTTCAGCCTTCTGCATAGCTGGGATTACAGGCATGCACCACCGTACTGAGCTTTCAGCAGGGTAATTCTTAATCTGCTCAACTCTGTCTATTTAGGGGAATTCTGTGCCTCCATGCAGACACTTGCACAGACCCCTGTTCTGAGCCTTAAGCTGACACCTTTGCCCACCGTGCCTGGTGGTGTCTAAATTTGACCAAATGCCCACATGGAAGCCACTGGCCTCCTCAAAGCCAACAGCTGTGGGATCCCTGGAAGTAAACTCACGCCCCACTCCCAGCTCCACTGCACCTTTTCCAGGGTCCAAAACCTTCCTCCTCTTCCCTCTGTGTTAAGACTAGGCTCTACTTTAGGTCCTAGATAAAGCACCTGGCACATATATCAAGGAAATGCTATAAAACCAAGCTTTGAAAACAAAGCCAATTTTGCATTAGCTTTTCTTTCTCTCCTGAGGAAAGGCTGCCACCTGCTGTAACACATTAGCATTGGGCTTTTCCAAGGTCACTGAACAACCAGATCCTTCATAGAAAATTAATGTATGCACAACCCTGTCTGCCTTCACCTGAGTCAAGAATGTAAGAGGAGAGCCAACTAGGAAATACTGAGCAAGACAAAGAGGAAACTCATCCATTTGAACAGTGCCCAGAAGGAACTGGCATCACCATAACTCTGAATATAAGAGCGCTCTCTCTCTCTCTCTCTCTCTCTCTCTCTCTCTCTCTCTCTCTCTGTCTCTCTCTCTCTTTCTCTCTCTCTCTGTAGTTTAGGCTGGCCTTGAACTATGTAACCCAGGCTGACCTTGAACTCGCAGTGATCCTCCTGCCTCAGCTTCCCAAGTGCTGGGATTATAGGTGTGTGCCACCATGTCCAGGAAGAACATTCTTTCTGTAGCCCTCAGCAGCAACATGTTCAAAATTAGCTCATACTAACCTTCAGAAAAATCTCCATTGGTAGTCTTACTGCTTTCTCAGTCTTTCTAGTTCTGTGTATCTTTATTCTTTTCAGCACTGGTAAATCTGACAAGTGAAAGGATTTGAGAAAATAAAAATTGATCATCCTCAGGGCAGCATTTGAGTCTTGATCCTAACTTACTACGTGAATCCCAGGTTGCTCTTTGGAGATGGAGCCTAGCACAGTACCTATCTCATTATAGAAAAGCTTTGTTTGTTCTCAGTCTTCTTGGTAGGGTCAGCATACTCAGAAAAAGAAAGAATATTTTCATGGATCAGAAAAACAAGTGAAGGAATTTGGGACATTCAACCTCAAAATATGCTGCTTCAGTATACTGGTTAATTTGAACTGATGTATTTGAAAAGCAGTAAATGCAGGGAGACGCTTTCTCTGAATTCTCTTTATCTTCCAAAAAGCTAAGTCTCCCGAAAGGAACTCAGTTGTCATAAATCTCTCACCTAGGAGTATCTTCAGCCAGGGAAGTTTGGTTTCTACTATAAGAGAGGACACTAGAGTTGACGCCACACCTAGACAAACCATCACAAACTATTGTATCATCTGTTTTCCTAAGGTCCTCTTCCTCTTTCCCCTGTATCATTTACTCTCCCTAAATTGCCTGTCCCCCCTCCTCTTCCCCTATTAGCTCTTAAATCTGCTTTCTTTAAGTAATTCACTTTTTCTTTTCTGATTCCCCCATGCATGGAATAAATGTTTATATAGTACATTTTCTCCTGTTAATCTATCTGCTGTCAACCGATTTCATAGACCTACCTATACAACCTACAAAGGGAAAGCGAAAGTTCCTCCCCTACAGAAGCCAAAAATGAGATGCTGGCACAGGGCCCATCACTTTAGTCCCCAGAACCCCTTTTCCACTCCCATCCAGTCATTACCCACCAGCTGCCATAGTCTCCCTCTACTCAACTTTTATTTCCTGTACCGGGGATTGAACCAAGAGGCACTCTATCACTGAGCTACATCCCTAGCCCTTTTCAATTTTGAGGCAAGTTCTCACTAAGTTGCCCAGGCTGGGCTCAAATTTGCGATCCTCTTGCCTCAACCTCCCAAGCAGCTGGATTACAGGGATGTGTCACCATGGCCAGCACATACAGTCAACTTTAAATAGTAAAAGTAGTTTCACCATTAGCTTGTTGCAGAGAGTGCTTTCTACTCCTGCCTTCTCCACTAAAGTATGGTTTTGTATGTGGGAACTTATCAAGCTTAAGGAATTACTCAAGGGTTCCAACATTAAGTAAATTCAAAAATAAATGAGCTTATGATTACAACTGAATAGCCAATGTCCAAAGAGTTTTCAATATAAGGAAAGTGGGAACAAATACCAATAATTTCCAAACAAAAATAGCCTAAAGAATGCCTCGCTGCCTGGTTTTAACCTTGCAGGGTCCATAGCATTGGCATGGGTGATACAGTTGTAAAATATTTGCCAACCTCTTGAGGAAACTGTTTTATTTCCTTCGTTGTAAATGATTGGCAATCTCTAGATTTCTGCCCTAACATCTCCCACTTGCATTCACAGAGACAGGATGAAGCAGGCTATAAAGCCAAGACACAATGAAAATGTTTTTATGGGTGTAAAAGAAAGCTTTAAAAGGTTGCATCAGAGTCAGGAATGGAGGCATATGCCTGTGATCCTAATGTCTCTGGAGGTTAGGCAGCAGATCACACATTCAAGCCCAGAATAGGCAACTTAGTGAAACACTGCCTCAAAATTTAAAAAAGGAGTGGAGGGGCTAGGAATATAGCTCAGTGGTTGAGTGTCTCTGGGTTCAATCCCTAGTACCACTACTGCCACAACAAAAAATGTTGCGTTGGGGCTGGGGATTTAGCTCAGTGGTTTCGCGGCCTGCTGCGCAAGAGCAAGAACCGAGTTCGATCCCCGGTACCAAAAAAAAAAAAATGTTGCATTAATATCCAAAGAAGTGAAATGAACCCTTATCCTTTAACATATCTATGTGTGCATAGTTTTTAAAATAAGTCTTTTTGCAGAAGCAAGGCTTAAACCCAGGGTCTCATGCATGCTAGACAAAGCACTACTGACCTATAGCCTCAGTCCTTTTTTATTGTTTTTTTGAGACAGGGCCTCCTAAGCTTTTCAGGGTCCCCTAAGTTGTGTCATCCTGCTGCCTCAGCTTTCTGGGTAGCTGAGGTTACTGTGTGTCACAGTTCTGGTTCAAATAAGTTTTTATAAGGTAATATTTTATTTGTCAAAATATGACAATACTAAATGTTTAACATTGCACTTCTTTGACTTCTGCTTTATTTTTTATGTTTCTATAGTTTTTTATTTGTATTCATTTTACAATTTCATGATCTACTTAGCATTTTTAATGTCTTGAACTATTCCTTTATTATGTCAAAACTTACCAGGTTTGGTTTACTAATTGTTCATTTTCACTAATACTGAAATAAATGTCTTTGTAAAAAGTACTTTTTCCCTTACTGTAGTCAATCATCCATCATAGTGAGAAATATGTAGCAAATACTCAGCAAATATGTGCTACATAAGTAAATTATAAGCAATGAACAGGAAGGAGAATATAGAGCTAAACCTTAAAAAAGTTCTGGTGTAAACAAATTCAAAGTCTCTTGATACAAACTATTAAATAGCTTTTCTAACTTAATTTTAATGTCAATAGGTAAACTAACACATCCTTTCCCCTGATATATCTTTTTGAATCTTGTTAATTCACAGGAGGTCAAAATGTGACAGTATTGCTGAAAGCAAAGGACAAGGAGAATCTGAATCAATATGGAGCGTGTGAGTCAAATTTTAATTGGTTTTAAAGTTTATATTTGACTATAGTTTAATTTTTCATTTCTTTAAGTTCTTTTTCTAATTTGCAGGGAAGAACATGTAATTGGGCCAGTTAACCACCCACGTTCAAACAGATCTAGGCAGTTTGAATTGATTTGCTTTTAGCCCAAAGTAATAAAGTGGAACAAATTTTTTTTTTTAGCACTAAGGATTGAACCCAGAGCCTTCACCATGAGCTACATCCTCAGCCCTTTTATTTATTTATTTTTATTTTGAGACCAGGTCTCAGTCACTAAATTGTCCAGGCTGTACTCAAACTTGCAATCCTCCTCTTTCAGCCTCCCAGAGTGCTGGGATTACATTTGTCTGCCGCCATGTCCTACGGGACAGAATTTTTTATGAGGCGAAATGTGGGCTAGCAGGGAAGAGACAAGAAGTCGCACAACTGGGTTGCTCAGTGTGGTCCCCAGACTTGCTCCATCAGCATCCTGGTAAACCTGTTAGAGATTCAGGATCTCAGGCCTCAGCTCAGACCAGCTGTATCTGAATCTACATTTTAAGAAGAACTCCAGAAACACACTGAGTTGGAGAAGCAGTGGTCTGGACAGTACACTTTTCAGGCTACTTCCACTTGTCTTTAGCAGAAAAAGAGAACCCACAGTGAATTTTAAAAACACAGATCTAAAGATAGCAAACAGCTTTCTGTAATTTTAGTTTGGCTGATTCTTACGCAAACATTCTCAATAGTATATACTGGCTTTAAAAAAAAGTCAAATGTATTATGAAGAGTTTAAAATATAAGCTTTTCCAGGCTTGGTGGTGCATGCATATAATCCCAGCACTCAGGATGCTGACGTTGAAGGATCACTATGAATTCAAGGCCAGCCTGAACTACATACCAAGATCTTGCCTGAAAATAAATAAAGTATAAGCTTATTTAGTGTCTCACAGCACTCAAACCCATCTTTTTCAAGTATGGATTTTAAATCATCCTAGCAGATCATGGATTATCTGGTTTCTAAAGTACTCTAAAGATGATTTTTCAAGGCCAGGCACGGTGACACATGCCTTGGGAGGCTGAGGCAGGAGGATCCCTGGACTATATAGTGAATTCAAGGCCAGCTTGAACTACATAGTGAAACTTTGTCTCAAAAAAACAAAACAAAACAAAGAAATCAGTAAAAATGATTTTTCAACACTGCTAAAATTTCTTTTGTCCTCATTAAAACTACTTGGACTTCTATGAGATTTCCTTCTTGAAAGCAAGGAACTTATTTTAGAGTACTTCATAGTTCTCTGATCCACTTGCACCAGAATAATCTCTTCTAGGGTGATTGTTTAAAATGTAAAGATTTGGGCCTCAACTCAGTCTTCTGAATCAGAATTTCTGCAGGTGAAGGGATCCAGAATCAGCATCTTAAATAGGCTGCCCAGTTGATTCTAACGTACAGCCAAGTTTGAGAACCACTGTCTTTCAAGTTTTAGTGGAAAGTTGAACACCTGATCAGTGATTCTTATCCTTGGATGGACAATGGTATTACCTGGAAATCTTAAAACCAAAGAAAAAAAAAAAGCACTGGTATCTGGTTTCCACCACCTTAAAGATTTGTGCTTAATTGGCCTGGAATTGAGAACCACTGGCTAGGTGCTTCTGAATCCTTCTTTCTTTGTACCTGTCATCTACTTTGTGCGAAAGGAGAAATGTAAACAGAGTCATATACAATGGCAAAGGGGTTGGCCAGTTGGTCAGGATCTAGAAGAAAAGATGAGAATATCTGAGACAAGGCAATCTAGGGGAGGGTGGCTGTATGGGAGCAGGTACAAAGTCAGTATGAAAATTGCATAGTCAGAGAGACACAGAAGAGGCATCAAACAAACAGGAGGCAAAATGACTGGGTTGCTTGACTTCAGCTGGTCTCCCTCATCTTCTTCCAGTGCTGATATAATAGATATAAAGTACATACTTGGGTAGTAGGGTGGAGACTACACAAGATCCCAAAAGCATGGGTTCTCTGTTGGGCTCAGCTGAAGTATTGCTGAAAATGCATCACAGCCCAACTTCTATCTGTCCAGTATTGCCTCTGCCCTTTTCCTTCCACAGGTGTTGATCCCAAGAGCACCTCATCAGAAATGTCCATGTGATAATCTCCTTCTCATAGTGTACTTACCAAGGGACCCAACTTCCAACCACTGATAAGGCCAAGGGTTGATGACAATGTGGTATGATTGTAACTCCAATACACTACTTGTGAGACTGTAACTTAGTACAACCATTTTAAAAAACTGAAAGAATCTACTAAAATGGAACATAGGCATGCCCTATGATCCAGCAATGCAAATCCCAGGTATATACAAAACAGGCAGATAATTATGGGATAAAGTTTTGTTTTGTTTTGTTTTTCATACTGGGGATTGAACTCAGGACCTTGTGCTTTCAAGGCAGGTGCAGTGCCACTGAGCTAAACCCCTGGCCCCAGAAAGGCAGATAGATGTGTTGCAAAAGATCTGTATAAAAATGACCATAGCAGCACTATTTGCAATTGCTGAAAATTGGAAACCCAAATATCCATCAGTAGTATAGCTGAAAATCCATAGAATATTCATACAATGAAAAATCCTCTATAGATTCTCTAGAGTATATAAATACTCCATATACTAGAGTATAGTAAATATAGTCTGTATGAACAAATTACTGCTACACATGACAATATGGACGATCTTATAAGCATAATGTTAAGAGCAGTGAGCCAGGGACCAAACAATATGATTCTATTTATATATCTAAAGTTTGTAAAGTGATTATATGTATATAAAGTTCAAAAACGAGTAAAACTAATTGAAGCTGATAGAAGTCAAGACAGGTTTAGCTTTGGGTGTTGACCTGGAGAAGATGAAAAGGTGCCCTCTGGAGAGTTGGTAATGTTGTATCTCTTGATATGAGATGTGGTTACATAAGTGTTTTTGTTTTGTGAAAATTAATTGAGCTGTCCATTTTGATGCACTTGTAATATATCAACAAAAGGTCCTCATCTATTAGGCAAACATACTAAAGTATTAATGAGTGAAATGATATAATACCAGGGATTTTCTTTTTTTTTAACTTAAAAATAGTTGTGCCAGGGATTTAGCTCAGTGGTCCTGTCCCCTGCCTCGAAAGCGCAAGGACCTGAGTTCCATCCCCGGTACCAAAAAAAAAACAAACTTAAAAATAGTTGTATTTATATTCCACAATTTGCCCAAATAGTGGTTTTCTTACAAACTTTCTACAGGATGAAATTCTTCACATTGTGTCTTGACTATGAACTCATGGAATTTCTGGGAAATAGTTCTGTTTTTAATAGCTTAATCTGCACTAACAGAATGGCAGGTGGTGGGTCACAGGCAGTCCATGTGGGATTCTAACATGACGTTCAGCGAGTTTTCCGATGTTGACCACCCCTTGGACGCTGAAGGTAGAGCATCTGTTGACAGAAGTGACTGTAGATTTGGATTACTGCTGTCGGCATCTTCCAGTTTTTCTGTGTTATCTTCCCAGTTAATGTGGAATCTTGTGACCCTGGGATTAGGTGCCAAAATGTTCCTTTGAAGCTTAGAAAAGTCTGGTTTTACTGGCAGGTTTTCCCTTAATTCTGTCTCAGTATATTCATTATTATTTACATAATAGCCAACTGTAATAGTATAATAATAATATTCACTCTACTTTTGTTTACTTGAATGTTTTATAAAACTAAAATTTAAAAATAAGCAATGGGCAGGCATGGTGGCACATCCCTGTAATCCCAGCAACTTGGGAGGTTGAGGCAGGAGGGTTTCAAGTGTGAGACCATTTGGACAACTTAGTGAGACCCATCTTAAACTTTTTTTAAAGGGGTGGGAGGTTGGGAATGTAGACTGTTAGACCACATGCTGCATGAGGCCCTGGGTTCAATCTGCAGTACCAGTAACACAAACAAAAACTGTGAGTGAAATTTCCGTCTTAGGGTGGAGAAGGACATTAATTACCCAAAAGTCATAAATGAAAAAAATAATGGTGGCTTTAGTATCTATTCTAGCTCCTTTGCTCCTTGCCTTCCATTGTAGTCTGTGAAGTGAAATGCTGGTACTACTAGTCCCTTGGCACAAAGCTCAACCATATCTATTCTCTAACACTGGTTAATGAACAATAGGATCACCAGTAAACTTAAAAAACAAAAGAAAGAAACAAACCAAAACCCACTGATGCCTGGGTTCCACTCCTTTCCAAAAAGGATTTTTATTGATTTGGCCCAAGGCTTATTGCCTAGATTGAGAATGATTCTGCCTAAAACATAAACAAGACAAACAAAATATTGATGAAATTCCATTCATTTTTCACCTTAGATTGCTAAAGATAAAAATTAATTATTACCAAGTTTTATTGACCACTTGAAGACCTAGTATTTCTCCTACATATTGGTGGAACTATAAATTTATGTAAAATCCTTTGGAAGGATAATTTGGAAATATTTATCCAAATTCTCTGAAAGCAAAAACAACATTTTATTGGTAAGAGTGGAATAGAAAGGAAGCAACATATAAAAGTCTAAGGTATAAAAGTCTAAGCAGGGTCAAATTAAATTAATTAAGTGATTGCTTAAATATGGAAGAAACTAAAAAATTACTAGGGGCATTTATAAAAATAGAGATAATTCAATTTGGGATACGTTTTCTGTAACTTCAGAATGAAGACAATTTTTGCATTTCCTCTAAATCCAGAACCTAAATGTTAGTGTATATATATTTATATAGAAAATTTATATTTTCATCAATTATTAATCCAGGAACTCAACAGGAAAGAAACAGAATATGCCACTGAGCCTCGGCTACAAGACTCACTGAAAGAAAATGTACTGCAAATAAAAGTGAAAACCTTTTTTTTCTGCCTTGCGTACTGGCAAAGAGAAAAAAAAAAGCCCCTAGATTAGCAAATATGCAGAGGAATAGGTACTGTCATATACTGCTGGTAGAAGTGTAAGTGGTTACAACTTCAGGAACATAAAAATGTTACAGCACTTAAGAAAAACCTAAAAGACAAATAGACCTTTATAGCCAGCCTTTCAAAAGTATATGCAAATATTTTAAATTTTTTATTAAAGATATATATATATATATATATATATAACTTTAAAAGTTAATTATTCTAAAAGTCTTAGTGGGGAAAAGAGTGGACTTCTGCTCTATCTCTTACCAATACTACTGTGATGGTTGATTGATTATGTCAACTTGAGTAAGGGACACTCAGTTAAATCGGCTCAGCAATTCCACACCCTAGGATGGCTTCACCTGAGTGGTATAAGGGGAAATGAAGAAGGATGAATCTTCTTCTGTATCTTTGGAGGAACTCCAGTCTTCACCTTCACCTTGGACATCATCTCCTGGGTTCTAGCACAGACTCTTCATCTTCTGGTTCAGACTCTTCGGCCTTGTAGCATAGACCCTTTCACTTTTCATCCTAGACCCATTGGCCTGCTAATATGGAATCTGCAGTGAGCTCCAGACCTTCAAGGTCTCTAGTATGCACAGATTCTCTGTAGTCTTCTACATCTGACTCTGTGGGTGACCACTATTTGCCAATCTTGTAAATTCTTATATATATTTGTGTATCTCTTATTATAACTGTTTCTCAAGTAAATAAAGACTGATACAATTACTTTCCAGGCTGTTACTTTTACAAAATTTTTAGACGTTTCATCTATTTATCTCTTTGTGCATAAATAATTTGCTCATTCAGACTTTCTTGACTTGTTAAAGTAAGACCTTGTCTATTGATATCCTGTTATGGTAGTGGAGGATGTTGTTCTTTTACTCAATCTTCACCTCCCTTCCCCACATCCTATTTACCATAATCTTTCAATGTCACATGGCAGGACTTTCGGACAAAAACATTATAGGACAAAATGTCTTGATTAATTCAGTAGTCAGTATTACACAGTTATGTCTATGCAAAGATTTCTACACATCAAAAGACTGGAATATTTTATCCAAACACAAAACTATTCAACAACCTAACAATTTCATTTTTATTCTCAAGATCTTGTTCCCATACAAGTTTTTCTTCTTGATTTCATCAGGACTGGCAGCTTCTTAGGACTGGAGCACAGTTGTCATTCTAGAATTTCCCTCACCATCAGATCATCTCTTTGAGCTCTCCTGTTTCCTGGAATTCTTTTTTTTTTCATGGTTTACTTTCTTGTCATGAAATAGTAATTTCCTAAGAAAGGGTACATAAAGGTAAAATGTTGAGTCCTTGAATCTCTACCCTCATACTTTATTGGTAATCGGTTGAATATAAAATTCTTAACTAAATGTCATTTCATCTCAGAATATTGTGCTCCGTTGTTTTCTAGAATCCAGTCACATTGTTAAGAAGTCCGAAGTTATTGTTTCCCCCTTCCTTTTGATATGATCTTTTTTCCTCCTTCTTTTTGGAAGCTTTTATGGGTTTTATTCCCAGTGCTTTGATACTTCCTGGTCATGTTCTTGGTATAGGTCTCTTTTCACTCATTGAGCTAGACAGTCTGACCTGGATATTTGTGTTCTTCAGTTCAGACAAATTTTGTTGGAATTCTTTTATAAAGTTTTCTCCTTCACTTTTGTTCTATAATTTCTGGAACCCCTGTTGGCTGAAAAGCAGAATTTCTGATTGATTTTTTAATTCTCATACCATTTTTCTCCAATTTTTTTTTAATCTCTGCCTACTTATTTGGCTTTTTGGAAGTTGTCTTTCATATTTTCCCACTCTTCCTTTGGGCTTTTTATTTCAGCAATCATATTTTTTAATTTCCAAATGCTTTTAAAAGTCTTCTCCCTGCAATCATTTTGAATTTCTTTTTATCACCTCTGATATTTTGGGTTTTCCTAAATTGCCTGGTGATTCTTGGGTCTTTGATAATTTTTTAAATATATGTATATAAGAGAAATCAACTAACAGTTCTATTGAAAACCCTTGCTGGGCCAAGGAGGATGAGTCAAATGGTGATCAGTGGGTATGCCAGTTTTTTCCTGGCCAATTGTCAAATTCTGTATGTGAAGGTATTTATTTTTTTCTAATCGATTTAGTTTCTCCATTGAAGAATTCTACAATCTCTTGTCTTAAGTTGCATTTGTGAGCAGTGGTAAAAATGGTCTGAGGGTCTGCTGCTTATCCAGTAACAAATGAGTTATTCTTACTTATTGACCCTGTTTGTACATTTAAGATGATGCAACCAAGGAAATTATAATAAATAGACAGCATGAGGGAATTTCTTGGATGACAGCACTTTCTGTTTCTTGATTATGTGACTCTGTGTATTTGTAAAAATGTGTTGTACACTAAAAAGAGTAACTTTTACTTTATACAAATGAATTTTAAATATAAATATAAGGCATTTAAATGACATCAATGTATTAAAATCACAGCTTAAAAGATAATTAAATTAGTAGCTAAATCTTTTAGAAGGATCCTATATGTAATCCTATATGATCCCTGTGGTATTATTAAAATTAAATTGGTCAAAAAGAATCTGATATGGCAAAGTTATATCAGTATAACTTCATCACTATTATTTCATTTATTAAACATACAACTTATAATTATTAAAAATATGTGTTGTTTATTATATAAGAAATTTATGATAATATAGAGAATATAGAGCTAAATCGTTAATCTTATGCCTAAGATCTATAGGGGAAACTAACTACATAATATATCCATATTACAAAGCCCAAAATGACTTGCACTGCATGTGAAGTATAGAGGAAGGATTCAGAGTAAAAGAGTAGTTTTTTTCTTTTTCTTAGTAGTGCGGTCACAGGTTGTTACTTGGATTAAATTGCATTTTAAAGAGGTCTTTGAAAAAGAGGTCAAATTTGAATATGGAGAGAGATTTGGGGAAAGGTGGAAGAGACCCATGGCAGGTGGTGCAAACAAAAGACAAAAGTTCAATGAAGCAAATGCAACTCAGATAATTTTTCTCACAAGTAATGGGGAATTTGCTATTATCATTATCAATATCATCATTATTTAAACACTATATGTCATATTGACCACTTTGCTCACCAAGCTAATTTGCTTATTCTAATAGCCTCTGTGTTCTTCCAGCAGAATCTTTAGTGTTAGCCTAAAAGGTCTTTGGTTCTAATGAGCTGAAACTTGATTTTTGTTAAATTTGTCATTAAATGTTAAAATGTACAATTACTCAGTTAAAAACATGTATCTGATCACTATCTTTTCCCTCATGCCCCCTTTGCCATTATGAATAGCACCATTTAAAAATGCCACATGAGGACTGGGGATTTAGCTCAGTGGTTCTGCCGCCAGCCTTGCAAGCACAAGGACCTGAGTTCGATCCCTGGTATCCCCCCCCAAATAAATAAAAATGCCACATAAAATCACCCATTTCTGCTATTCTCATTAGTATTAAATTTTATTTTAAATTCTCCTGTTCCTGTATTGTTCAGCCAGATAAAAAAGGAGGAATGGATCGATTTTCATGTGCCCTCTGTAATTGCAATCATCAGTTGCTCAATCATGCCCCTTTATACTCTTTTCTTTTTTGCAGGCTGTTTAAATAATCACTTGGAGTCAGTTGCTGTAGTGAAACTTAAAACCTGATCATTGAAGAAGCCTGCAATTTAGTAGAAAACACGGTGCACCAGGATCTGCTGCTCCAGCTGCATACTGAAGATTCCAGTCTCTTTTTTTAAAATACTCTTACACTTGTACTTAGTTTAGTCCTATAATTCATCCCTTAAACCAACTTTGCAAAGTTGTGTTTTTAAAAAAAAAATATTATAGATCTATACCTACCCACAATTCCCAATTGTTCACCATGGTCTTATATAACACTGCTTACCCATAATTTGTGGGAAATGACATGTACTGCATAAATGAGTTTTCTGGTGAAATCTTTATCTTTTGATCTCATTGCACGTTTCAGAATTTTGAGTTGTTTCAATTCTGAAAACCGTGCTGTTAACTGAGAGCAGGGTGTCTGTGGCTAGTTGCTGTTTTAATATTATTTTGCTACTATTGTCATTTATCTCTTTCTAAGGATAGATCCTTCTTTTCTCTTTGCTCTCTTCTCTCCTCTCCTCCTCTTTCCTCTATCTTTGTTTTTCTGTCTTTCCTATTTATATGTGTATGTAATTAGAAGTGTCCATTAGTGCCAATTTATCAGGTTCTGGTTAATTTGAATTTTACTGTCACCAGACAAATAACCTCAGCTTTAGAAACATCTGAAATACATTCCCTTATATTTCCTCACTTAGTTACTAGTCCTTCTACATAAACAAAAAATCACAAAGCATTATCTCCCAAATATTTGTGAAAACACTTTATTAATAACTGTCAAAATTGCCTCTCTAAACTGGGTGTGGTGGCGCACGCCTGTAATCCCAGCACTCGGGAGGCTGAGGCAGAAGGATCGCCATGAGTTTGAGGCCAGCCTGGGCTACATAGTGAGTTCAGCGCCAGCCTGAACTACGCAGCGAGACTCTGTCTCAAAAAAACAATTGCCTCTCTACTTACATTTGCCAACTTAACAGTGGTTCTGAACATATAAGATCTCTTTAGTTATTAAGAGAGAGTAGAGCCTATAGGATACAAAAAGGAGGGCAAATTTAACAACGATTTGCACAGTTCCTTGGCCCTAGTCCTTAGGCATACCAAAAAGACATCACTGCCACCATTAGTTCATTTAGCAAATTGTTTTAAAAAACCAACCAACCGTAGACAAATTATCACATCAATAGCCATGAAGAGGAGAGAAGAAATTATTCCAAATAAAGGAGTACTTTTAGCCAAGGCAGTGGTCCAGAGCCCAAGCTTTGCCATCAGATAGATTTGAGCTCAAGTCCTGATTCCACTTACTGTGTAGTCTTGGAAGTTGCTTGTCATACCTTGCCTCTGTAAGCCTCAGGTTGATCATGTCTATCTCAAAGGTCTGTTATCAGGATTAAATGTGGTTGGTATATGAAGCACTCACTCATTCAGAAAACATTTATTGATCTACTACCATGTATCCCAGACAATGAGCTTTGTACTGGTAACACAGAGATTAAGGCCAAAGGCCTGCTTTCAAGGAATCCATGAGCCAAGGAATTCACAATTAAAACAGCTAAGTAAACAGGAAATTACATTTCACTGCCTGCTGCGCAAGCACAAGGACCCAAGTTCAATCCCCGGTACAAAAAAAAAAAAGAAAAAGAAAATTACAACACAGTGTAAAGTGAGCTCAGCCTCAGAGGAGCTCACTAACTCAGATCAGGATAGGGATGGTTAAAAAAAAAAATTTACAAGAGGAGGTAGTCATCAAGACACTTGAAAAGAACAGAAATAGAACTTAACTTCCAAGGTTTGAAGCTACTTTGTAGTTTCTAGAGAAACAAAAATTTTAATCTGTAGATGGATTTTTGTTGTTATTGTTGTTATTTTTCATATGTGTGGTTGTTTAGTTTATTTCAAAGTCAGAAAAACAGAGTAGGGGAGGATTACCCTATTTCTCAGCTGACCAAAAGGAAGAAGAGTCCATTTGCGTCACCTTAGTAGTGGAAGAGGTGAGCAAGCCAAATCCTGAGGCAGGTATGGTGTGCCAAAATGAAAAGGATTACAGGGAAGTTGACCTAACAGGAAGTAGCAAGTCTGGGGTCTCATTGATGTTTGCTGGGTGTTCAGCCACATTTACTTACTCTTTTGAAACAGTGCCAGAATTTCATTTTATTTCTGGAGAACCACATCTTTCCTCATTCTCCTGTATTCTTGTACAGATGATCCCATTTGATTTTGACTTCAGAGATTGGCTCTGCTTCAAGCCTGGCCAGTTAGAACCTTCTGTTGGCTCTAGGGACTGGGTCAGGGTGGGTACATAACCTAATCAGAGCCATTGAGTGGAAATGTGGGACTCTTGGTGAGCTGGTGACAGAAGCATGCCTTGCCTTCTGCTGGTGTGAACATGGGAAGCTGTGGACTAGGAGCTGCTGCGAGCCACTTTCCCATCTGAGACTAATGTCAGCCAAGATAGAAAGTTGAAATCGTCACTGTAGAATATGCAGCCCACGAGGGCAGGAACCTTGGCTTTATTTTTAAATCTTTTGTTATTATTATTGACACATCACTCACATATAGAAAAATGCACAAAACAGATGTTTGAGTCAAAAATTATTACTAAGTGAATACACCTTTTACTTTTACCCAGATCAAGAAATGAAACAACTAAGGAAGCTGAGGCAGAAGGATGGCCAAGTTAGATGCCTGCAGCCTGGGCTACATAGTGAGACTTTGTCTCAAAAAGTCAAAAGAAAAAAGAAAAAAAATTAAATGGGACATTACGCCCCATGCACCTCTTGAATACTATAATCTCTATCCTCTTTACCATTAATACTATAGTTTTAAAATTTATATAAATGTGTGTATCTAGCTTCTGTCACTCAACATTATTGTAGAGAATGCACATATATTTCTAATGGCTGTATTCCTAAATATAGAACTGAAGTATCTGTGTGTTCAGCTTTAGAAGATATTAGCAAATTATTTTCCAACATGATCGTACCAATTTAGTCTTTTACCTTAATATATACTTATCACTCAACATCCTACACAATGTTTAACTTTATCAGTGTTTTAAAATGTAGATGTGAGGTATATTATTGTTTTTTTGGGTTTTGTGGCTTACTTTTTGTGTGTGTGCAGTGGCGGTGGTGGTACGGGGGATTGAGCTACCGTCCCAGTCTTTTCTTCTCTTTTCATTCCTTTTCCTTGAGACAGAGTCTCACTAAGTTGCCCAGGCTGCCTTCACACTTGCCATTCTCCTGCCTCAGCCTTCTGAGTAGCTGGGATTATAGGCCTGTGCCATTGTGCCTGGATTAAATTTTTATCTTTAAAAATATGCCAGATTAGAAGTCCTTTTTACTTGCATGTGTTAGAAATTCCTTCTCCCACTCTGTGGCTTGCCTTTTCATTCTCTTAATGTTGCCATATAATAAATGTTAATGTACTCAAATTTACTCAAAGTTTCCCTTATGGTGGTTCTTTTTGTGTCCTAGTATAAAATTTTTTCTCTTATCATCCATTCTCTTTAACATTTAGAGCTATAATCCACATGGAATTAAATTTTTGTGTAGGGTAAAAAGTAGAGTATGTTTTTTTTCTTTTGACTGAGCAGTATTTATTTCAAAAGACTGTTCTTTTCTTACTTCTTTGTGTTGTTACATTTTCCATAAATCAAGAGTTTATATATTCACAGACATGTTTCAGGATCTCTATAGTCTTTGATGCATCTTTTTGTCTATCTTCATATTAAAAACCTTACTATACTAATATGATACTATGTTTTAGGTTTGTTTGTTTGTTTGTTTGTGACAAGGTTTTGGTATGTAGTCTAAGCTGGCCTCAAACCTGCAGCAATCCTCCTGCCTCAGCCTCTTGAGTACTGGAATTACAGGCATGTGCCACCCTGCCCTGCCTCTCTATTTTAGTTTTATAATAAACTTGATAGCAGATAGACTAAGTCTCCCCACCTTGTTCTTTTTAAGACTGTTTTGGCTCTTCTTAGCCCTATCCATTTTCATGTTTTAGAATCAGTTTACTGTTTTCTACAAATAAAACAAATGGGATTTTCCTTGAGATTGCATTGAATCTATAGATTAATTTGAGGAGATCGACACATTTATAACATTGAAACTCCCAATCCATGAACGTGGTATATGTTTACATTTATTTAGATTATCCTTAATCTTTCTTTTTTTATTAAATTCTTTTATTGGTACATTGTAGGTATACAACACAATTACATTTCTCATTGGGAATTGTACCTTTACATAATGCATC